AGGGGTGGGCAGAGGGCTGCTGTCTCTTACCTGGCTCCGGTCCCACGATGATCCATCCAGGAAGCGCTGCTCCTTCCGTCACTCTGGCCACTCCCTCACTCCTGCCGCTCGGCTCCGCCTCCTCACCGGTGATTGGCCGCCAGAACTTTAGCTCAGGAAAGTTACACAGGCGGCCAATCACGGGCGAGGAGGCGGAGCCGAGCGGACCCGCGAAAATCGAGTGAGGGAAAAGCCGGTAAGTGTGCAGTGCAGAGGTGCTGCTGCAACCACATATGCTGGCTGCAGCAGCACCATACTGCAACAGGGGTCAGCAAGTGTCATTGGTGTCAGTGGGAGGAATAGTGCCGCATCATTGGTGTCACTGATACTAATGATGGGGCATTATTCCTCCCACTGACACCAACGATGGGGCACTATTCCTCCCACTGACACCAATGATGGGGCACTATTCCTCCCACTGATACTAATGATGGGGCACTATTCCTCCCACTGACACCAACGATGGGGCACTATTCCTCCCAGTGATACCAATGATGGGGCACTATTCCTCCCACTGATACTAATGATGGGGTATTATTACTCCCACTGACACCAACGATGGGGCACTATTCCTCCCACTGACACCAATGATGGGGCACTATTCCTCCCACTGATACCAATGATGGGGCATTATTCCTCCTACTGACACCAACGATGGGGCACTATTCCTCCCAGTGATACCAATGATGGGGCACTATTCCTCCCACTGACACCAATGATGGGGCACTATTCCTCCCACTGACACCAATTTTTTACATTGACTAGTAGGTGCCTCATTTCCCACCCTCGGCTTATACTTGAGTCAATAGTTTTTCCCAGTTTTTTATGGTAAAATTAGGTACCTCGGCTTATATTCGGGTCAGCTTATACTCGAGTATATACGGTATGCAAAAAGGAAATAAAGGCTGCAAAAATTGAAAACGAACGACAGATTGCAAAAGATAGAAGGACCAACCCCAAAAAATTCTTCAAGTATATTAATAGTAAAAAGGTCAGGTCCGAGCATGTAGGCCCTTTACAAAATAATATAGAGTGGGTGACTGGGGACAAAGAGAAGGCAAATTTATTTAACACCTTCTTCAGTTCTGTATATACAAAGGAGCATGGGGGAGCTCTTGTCCATAATGGGCAAGGTATTGACACAGCTCCAGATGATCCACATTGACTCACAACTAATATGATCCAAAAATATTTAGACAGAATAAAGGTGAATAAAGCACCTGGACTGGATGCCATACACCCACGGGTCCTTAAAGAATTGAGCTCTGTCATTTCAAAGCCATTGTTTCTAATTTTTAGGAACTCTTTAATGACTGGCATAGTACCACTGGATTGGCGTAAGGCCAATGTGGTGCCAATATTTAAAAACGGGTCAAAATCTTTACCAAGTAATTACAGACCTGTTAGTTTAACTTTTATAGTTGGGAAGATACTGGAGAGTTTAATAAAAAACCACATAGATGAGTTCTTTCTGGAAAAAAATTTTTTTAAGCAACAGAATACAAAAGGTTTATATAATGTCCAAAAAATATAGTAAAGTTCTTAAGATATTGTATGTAATTATATAATCATGTGTTGTGTAAAGCTGTGTGTGTATGTGTGTCAAGGCTTCTAACACAAAGGGGTTTATTTACTAAAGCTGGAGTGTCCAAAATCAGACTCCCTTCTGCATAGAAACCAATCAGCTTCCAGGTTTCATTGCCAAAGCTTCATTGAACAAGCTGAGGTTAAAAGCTGATTGGTTTCTATGCAGAAGGAAGTCTGATTTTGGACTCTCCAGCTTTAGTAAATAAACCCCAAAGTGTCCTTCTCTGTCTTTGTTCTGCTGTATAAAAAGCTCCAGCCCCCACCTTTTCCTAAAAATGGGCTGCTATACTTTTCTTGTGTTCCTTGTAGTCTCACAAAGATAATTGGAAAGAGATGTATATATAACAAACCCTCAGTCTTCTTTCCTCAGAGTCTGAGTGTAACTTTAGAATGTCTAGACAAAGTTGACATTCCATCAATCAGGGTAAATTAGATGTATATATATAATCTCCTAAAAGTAATCTTAATAAGAGTGATATCATATATAAATATTGCAATCAAGAAATATCATTATAAATCTTTAGCCTAACATGTATGAAATAGATTCTTACAATTCTCTTGTTAGTGAAACAAAATCTCTTACATAGATGGGGGAAGGTAAAGCTAGACAAATTACTACCACATGTGGCTTGAATGTAAAGAAAAGCCCATATATATATGTGTGTATATATATATATATATATATATATATATATATATATGTATTCACAGAATATGAAAAGTCTATATCTTACTTTTCCCAATCTATAACAAATAGAAATATAATAATTCAATTATTCTATTAAGATCCAACTCATTCATACATATGTTAGTACTGTTAATAAGAAGATATTAGATTAAGGAAAGCTTCTAACAGGAAGGAAGGAAGGAAGGAAGGGAAGGAAGGAAGGAAGGAAGGAAGGAAGGAAGGAAAGGAAAGAAGGGGGGATGGAGGAAGGAAGAAAAGGGAGGGAATGGATGGAGAAATAAAGGAAGGGGAGGGAAGGAAGGGGAAGGAAGGAAGGAAGGAAGGAAGAAGGAAGGAAGGAAGGAAGAAGGAAGAAAGGGAGGGAATGGACAAAGGAAGGAAGGAAGGAAGGAAGGAAGGAAGGAAAGAAAGAAGGGAGGGAAGGAAGGAAGAAAAGGGAGGAAGGGAATGGATGGAGGAATAAAGGAAGGGGACGGAAGGATGGGAGGAATGAAGCAATGAAGAAAAGGGAGAGAATGGACAAAGGAAGGAAGGAAAGAAGGGACGGAAGGAAGTAAGAAAAGGGAGGGAGAGAATGGATGGAGGAAGGAAGGAATGAAGGAGGGTGAGGGAAGGAGGAAGGAAGGAATGATGGAAGGGGAGGGAAGGAAAGAAGGAAGGAAATTAAAGGAAGGGAGGAAAGAATGAAGGGAGGGGATGGAGGAAGGAAGAAAAGGGAGGGAGGGAGGGAGGGAATGGATGGAAGAAGGAAGGAATGGATGGAAGGAGGGATGAAACAGATGAAGGAAGGAAGGAAAGAAGGGGAGGGAGGGAAGGAAAGAATGAAGGGAGGGGATGTGTCAGGGCTCCCGGTAAGACCAGAGATGCATTAACTGACAAAGGGAAACGCAGGCTCAAGTATGGTGTAAGAATATAATTTATTAAGGGTTATACACAAATATAACGCACAATACAACAAAACCAAACCTCCAACTGATAACGGAATGTACACAGATAAGAGCAGTCAGGGCTGGTGAGGTGGAGTGGTCAGGCGGGCCGGGTCAGGAATCATCGGGCAGACAAGACACAAAGGAGTAAGCAGAGCGTAGTCAGACGGGCCGGGTCAGGAACAATCAGGCAGTCAAGGTACCAAAGGAGCAGGCTGGAGAGTGGTCAGGAATAGCCGAAGTCAAGACAGGCGGAGTGCATTCAGGGTCAGGATCAAGCAGAATCAGGAATCGGGCAGGAAGCAGACAGGATGCAGGTACAGGGCTCATGGGAAACATACACCAATGCACTGACTGCAGGTCTGGCCATTCCTTAAATACACCTCCTGCAATCAGCCTCAGGTGATGGCCGACTGCAGGAGTGAGCTTATGGTTGCTGGTTGCTGGATGGAGGAAGGGGCGGGGAAGGAAGGAATGAAGGAAAGAAGGAAGGAGTGGAGGGAGGAAGAAAGAAAAGAAAAGGGAATGGGTAGAGAAAGGAAGGAAGGGAAGGGAAGGAAGAAAAGGGAGGGAGGAAGGAAATGAAAGGAGAGGAGGGAGGAAAGAATGAAGGGAGGGGATGGAGGAAGGAAAGAATGAATGATTGGAGGAAGGGAGAAAGGAAGGAAGGAAGGATTGAAGGAAGGGTATAGAAGGGGGAAAGAAGGAAGGAATGACTGAAGGACAAGGCTAGAGGGAAGGAAAAAAAAGTGAAGGGAGGGGATAGAAGAAGGAACAAAGGTAAGGAAGAAAATGGAGGGAGGGAATGGAGGAATAAAGGAAGAAAATGGATGGAGGAAGGAATGAACGAAGGGGAGGGAAAGAAGGAAGAAAAAGGAGGGATTAAAAACAGATGAAGGAAGGAAGGAAAGAAGGGGAGGGAGGGAAGGAAAGAATGAAGGGAGGGGATGTGTCAGGGCTCCCGGTAAGACCAGAGATGCGTGAACTGACAAAGGGAAACGCAGGCTCAAGTATGGTGTAAGAATATAATTTATTAAGGGTTATACACAAATATAACGCACAATACAACAAAACCAAACCTCCAACTGATAACAGAATGTACACAGATAAGAGCAGTCAGGGCTGGTGAGGTGGAGTGGTCAGGTGGGCCGGGTCAGGAATCTTCGGGCAGACAAGACACAAAGGAGTAGGCAGAGCGTAGTCAGACGGGCCGGGTCAGGAACAATCAGGCAGTCAAGGTACCAAAGGAGCAGGCTGGAGAGTGGTCAGGAATAGCCAAAGTCAGGACAGGCGGAGTGCATTCAGGGTCAGGATCAAGCAGAATCAGGAATCAGGCAGGAAGCAGACAGGATGCAGGTACAGGGGCTCATGGGAAACATACACCAATGCACTGACTGTAGGTCTGGCCATTCCTTAAATACACCTCCTGCAATCAGCCTCAGGTGATGGCCGACTGCAGGAGTGAGCTTCTGGTTGCTGAGAGCACCCGCTGACCAGCCCTGGTACTGCAGCCCACAAGGCAGGTGAGTCCCACCACCATTGGCAAGTCCATTCCTGACAGTACCCCCCCCCTCAAGGAGCGGCCTCAGGACGCTCCAAACAGTCCGTAATGGCCCAAATGTTCCACCACCTGGGTCCGGCAACTGGCTGGACATCCCACTGCCGGAATCAAGCGATTGGCTGAGTCACCTGCTGATAGGCCTCTTTTTGCAGGAGACCGCAGGAAGGCAGATTGCTGGACACAGGATTTCCAGAAGCAGGCTGGGCATCAGGAGCCGGTACATCAGGCTGGGCAGTGAGGGAGGCACGTGAGCGGAGGGCACGTCAGGCTGGGCAGCAGGCAGAGGCACGTCAGGCTGGGCAGCAGGCAGAGGCACATCAGGCTGGGCAGCGGACACCAGGCCATCAGACGAGGCAGCGGGCACCAGGCCATCAGGCGGAGCAGCAGGCACCGGGCCATCAGATGAGGCAGCGGGCACTGAGCCATCAGGCTGAGCAGCAGGCACCAGGCCATCAGACGAGGCAGCGGGCACCGGGCCATCAGACGAGGCAGCAGGCACCGGGCCATCAGGTGAGGCAGCAGGCACCGAGGCATCAAGCTCAACAGCGGGCACCGAGTGATCTGACAGAACAGCGGGCACCGAGTCATCTGGCAGAACAGCGGGCACCAAGTCATCTGGCAGAACAGCGGGCACCGAGTCATCTGGCAGAACAGAGGGCACCGAGTCACCAAGCTCGACAACGGGCACCAAGTCAACTGGCACGACAGCAGGCACCGGGTCATCTGGCATGGCAGCGGGCACCGGGTCATCTGGCACGACAGCGGGCACTGGGTCATCAGGCTGGATCGGGTCATCAGGCTGGATCGGGTCATCAGGCTGGATAGCGTACACTGGGTCATCAGGCATCAGGGCATCAGACTGAACAACGGAAGGCGGGTTCTCAGACGGCAGGCTGACCGGTTTGGATACTGGTAGGATGGTACTGGTTGGAAAGAATTTTCGCTTCTTCTTGGGTATAGTTACTGGGGTACTGCAAGTAAATGCAGGTCTGTAATTGGATGGAGTAGCTGGGGACAGAGAAGAGCTGGAGGGTGGAACAGAGGAGGGAATAGTTGTTACAGTGGCCTTTTTTACAGGGTTAAAGGCAGGATAGGTGCAGCGAGTGGGAACAGGGTACTGACGTGGTAGATAGCAGGGTATAATGGGCTGTAACTGGGGGTGCTGTCGGGAATGCAGGAATAGAGCTTTGAGCAGAGGAATTATTAGAAGCAAGATGGGTTTGTTGCAAGCTGCCTGAGGCTGGGTGTAACAAGTCTGACCAGGACTGTAGTATTGGTTGAACAAAACTCAGCTTACACATAGCCTGTCTGACCAAAGACTGCACTGCAATTATACACTCTACAAGCACATGTGGTAAACATGCTGAATAATGCTCCCAGAAGCAATCTGGATCATCCTCTAACAACCATACCAGTGATTCTATTTGATCCACACTGAATGGTGGAAGAAAGTCATTCCTGCTTTCAGGGGTACTAGATGAAGCCAACTCAACACAAGCCTGAATCAATGGTTGCACCCCAGAGAACTCTGTGCCCTGATCTACTAGGGAATGAGCGACCTGTATGCACTCTAGCAGCTGATCCCTGGTATACTCCTGCAGAGTCTGATAGGCATATTCTCTGTCATCTAAGACAAGCAAATACAAGTATACCACCTCCTCAGGATGCATCCTTCCCAACAACAAGCCAAGATGGCTTCCCTGTGCAGCCACTTCTGGTCAGGAATGGCCTTGGTGTAATGTCAGGGCTCCCGGTAAGACCAGAGATGTGTGAACTGACACAGGGAAACGCAGGCTCAAGTATGGTGTAACAACATAATTTATTAAGGGTTATACACAAATATAATTCACAATATAACAAAACCAAACCTCCAACTGATAACGGAAAGTACACAGATAAGAGCAGTCAGGGCTGGTGAGGTGGAGTGGTCAGTTCAGGAATCATCGGGCAGACAAGACACAAAGGAGTAGGCAGAGCGTAGTCAGACGGGCCGGGTCAGGAACAATCAGGCACACAAGGTACCAAAGGAGCAGGCTGGAGAGTGGTCAGGAATAGCCGAAGGCAGGACAGGCGAAGTTCATTCAGGGTCAGGATCAAGCAGAATCAGGAATCAGGCAGGAAGCAGACAGGATGCAGGTACAGGGCTCATGGGAAACATACACCAAGGCATTAACTGCAGGTCTGGCCATTCCTTAAATACACCTCCTGCAATCAGCCTCAGGTGATGGCCGACTGCAGGAGTGAGCTTCTGGTTGCTGAGAGCAGCCGCTGGCCAGCCCTGGTACTGCAGCCCACAAGGCAGGTGAGTCCCACCACCATTGGCAAGTTCATTTCTGACAGGATGGAGGAAGGAATGAAGAAAGGGGAGGGAAGGAAGAAAGAAAAGGAAGGGAGGCAGGAAATGGATGAAGGAAGGAAAGAATGGAAGGAAGGAAGAAAAGGGAGGGAAGGAATGGATGAAGGAAGGAATGAAGGAATGAATGGAGGAAAGAAGAAATGAAGGAGGGGGCGGGAAGGAGGAAGAAAGGAATGAAGGAAGTGAGGAAGGAAGGAAGGAAATGCTGTCAGAGAAGACCCGAGCATCAGAGAACTGTGAGGGGGGGCTTGAGGAGCACAAAGGGGGCGTCCAGGAGGTAAATCTGATCAAAGTCAGAGATGATCGGTGCAGGGGAAGGACAGTGACAGCACCAATCTCCCTGCATGGATTTCAACGAGACAGCTGGAAGCCTCTCCCTCCCATGCAGTGATCCTCTCACGGGCCCCCTACTGTGACCCTGGGCCCTCGAGCAATGCCCGAATAGTCATCTGCCTCTGGACGGGAGAGCCCAAGAAAGCTTCCCTTCCTGCTGCTTTTAAAAGCAATCCAGCAGCTAATTATTTTTGAATATCATTGCTCTGCAAAGCAAAGCTTGCTTGAACTAAGTTATGAATGTATTAAAGTTCATGGACAGTTCAATAAATAGGCTAGTGATTTGTGATTGGCTCCAGCTGGTCACATGGTACAAGGTGCTGTGATTGGCCCCTTGTTTCATGTGAGAGATGTGGACCAATCCACAGCTCTCCAGGAACAGAAGCAAAGCTTTTAATGAATCAGGATTGATTCATAAAAGCTTTGTTGTTCATCGTGATCATGTATCGCATAGCAAACACGTTGATCACCAGGTCCTGATTAGCGGGATTCTCATTCAGCAAATGTGAGAGGGTAGGGGTAGGTGCCCCCCTGTGTTGACAAAAGACCAGCGATGTACAGGTACGTCACTGTCCTGCAGCTGCCGCCCGTCCGCAGTACATCATTGAGGGCGAGAAGTCAGTAAGTTGTTAAAAGATTTCTGAGAATGATTGACAAGAAGGGTGTTGTGGGCAGTATAACATGTAACATACAGTTACAAATGTGATTTTTATCCGTTTAAAATCAAATTGCTTGAATACATAATAAGTGATTTTGGGGAATGAAAATAATATGCCACAATGTTTATAAAACTGATGGAAAAGCTCTTCTTCAGTTTAAATTTGTTCAACCCAAGACAAACAACTTGTGCTCTCAAATAAACATCACCAGAAATAATTGCAAAGACAGTAAAACAAATATACAATCAGCAGTGAGAAAACAAAATCCAACAAGCATGTGTCCAGTGAAAAAACTTCAGGAAATCCACAATAAGTATGTGCCCTGCCAAAAAAACGAACTTCATGAAAATCAAATAAGTACAGGTGAAACTCGAAAAATTATAGAATATTGTGTGCAAAAGTTCATTTATTTCAGTAATGCAACTTAAAAGGTGAAACTAATATATGAGATAAACTTACATGCAAAGCAAGATAGTTCAAGCTTGTGATTTGTCATAATTGTGATGATTATGGCTAGAGATGAAGCGAATTATTCAAAAATTCGGTTCGGCTGATTCGCCGAATTCGCCGATTAATATTCGCTTTTCGTGCCGAATATATTCGCTGCGAATTTAAAACTTATAAAAAGGGTGTTTCTAGGCTTCAGAGAGCCTTTATATTAGTGCAGAACACTGTACCTTTAATTTAAATGCCCTTGGAGTCTGCTGGGGAAGAGAAATAATACTGTCAGTCAGTAATGACATGCAATGTGTGCCGTCGATCTTAGAATCACCGCACACTTCACTCATTTGGGCAGTCACGGCCGAAACCAAAGTTGGAGCCACATTGTGGCGGTGGAGGCAGCAGCAATGGGAGGCCATACAGCACCCTATGACAAAATGGAACCCACCAGCAGTGTGAGGAGACCTGAAAGTGGCACATGGTGCAGAGTGTGGCGATGGAGACAGCAGCAATGGGAGGCCGTACAGGGACCCATGACAACACCTCTGGACCTGGCAGCAGCATGAGGAGGCGGTACAGGGGCCCATGACAGCGCTAGATTACGGCCTGGCAGCAGCATGAGGAGTCGGTACGGGGCCCATGGCAGATTACGGGCCCTGGCAGCACATGAGGGTAGGCGGTAATTGAGACATGCCATCTAAAGGCCCCATACATGGCATGTTAGTCCCCGGAGCTAAGCATCTAAAATTGAAGGGCCCATAGCACTTCAATGCAGAGGCCTATAAAGTAGTCCCCCACAGCAGCAGCGTGGCGGTGGAGACTTAGCAGTTTTATCCAAACAGGCCTCTGTGAGGCTCGTGGCGAGAGCAGAAGCAGCTTCAATTTGAAGGCCCAAACACAGGCCTAGGTTAAAAAGCGGAAGCCGTCAGCAGCCGTGAGCAGACGACAGAGACACATTGCCGCAGGTGGCGGTGGATTCAGCAGTATTCGGAAGCCAAACACAGTTCGCCTCAGGTTAAAAAGTGGAAGCCGTCACAGGCGTGAGCACACGACAGAGACACATGGCGCAGGGTGGCGGTTTGGATGCACATTATTCAGAAGCCAAACACAGGCCTTCGGTTAAAAAGCGGAAGCCGTCAGCAGCGTGAGCAGACGACAGATGCACATGGCGCAGGGTGGCGGTGGAGGCAGCATTAATCGGAAGCCATACACAGGCCCACCGGTTAAAAAGAAAGTGGAACAGGCCGGGTCAGTGGTGAGCGTTCGGAGCAGACACCTAGGTTACAGAGAGCCGTACACATGGCACATGGTGGCTGGTGACGTATTGTACATATTCGGAAGCCAAACACAGGCCTCGGTTAAAAAGCGGAAGCCGTCAGCAGCGTGAGCACGACAGAGGCACATGCGCAGGGTTGGCGGTGGAGGCAGCAGCAATGAAGCCAAACACCATACACAAATTGAACACCCTTACAAAAAAATTGGAACGCAGGTGCAAGCAGTGTAAGAACTAGACCTGAAAGTGGCACCATTGGCGCAGGGTGGGCGGTGGAGGCAGCAGTATTCGGTAATGCCATACACAGCCTAGGTTAAAAAGCGAAGCCGGTCAGCAGCGGTGAGCAGAACGACAGAGACACATGGCGCAGGGTGGCGGTGTGGAATGCAGCAGTATTCGAACCAAACACAGGCCTTACGTTTAAAAAGCGGAAGCCAGTCAGCAGCGTGAGCAGACGACAGAGGCACATGGCGCAGGGTGGCAGTGGAGGCAGCAGCAATGGAAGGCCATACAGCACCCTCATCACAAAATGAACCCACCAACAGTGTAAGGACGACCTGAACGTGGTCATCATTAGGCGCATGGGTGGATGAATGCTTACAAT